GATGCACTGGTTCGAGAACCACGAGGCTTCACTTACTTCGTGGGAGATCTGCATGACGGAGTTGAAGCGGGCCTTTTCGAGCCAACGCGGACGGCAGCGGGCGGAGGATCTGCTTCCAAAAACGATTCAGAACCTACATGAAAGTGTAACGCAGCACTCCTTTCCAATGTGACCAGCGTCGGCCTTCGCTGGTTAGTCAGAAATGTCAGCACTACGGCCTTTTCTTCTAGGCGGTGTTGGCGACCGCAAGGGGAAGTATGAGAGCCTGCCGATGGTATCACCCTCTACGCGTGATGACGTAGTTTCTGCATATACGGATCCCGCCAGAGTTTGCCCAAAAGCGCCGTTAACAGCTACAGCTGTACAAAAGCTGCTCGTATGACACGAGAAGCAACAGTCACCGCGATTAATTCTCTGCGGCAAAAAATGCTCTGTGGAATCGTCCAGCGTGTAACTGAGATGCAATGAAAATTCACTTGTGATTGACGTGGCCTCGTTGAAAAGGAAGGGTCAAGCAAAAAAAGATTTCATGTAAATGTTTTCGTTTATCCCTTTGTGTTAAAAAGGAAGACATATATGAAGCAATTTTAGGGACGGAATATCCAATGGTTATCAAGAAGAGCGGAGTATATCGGTCACGTCTGAAAGAACCAAACATTGAAGCACAACGTAAACTTTCAGCCACAAGACCGCAACCCGACAGGACGGTTCAGGCATATGCGTTGGTGTCCAACCGACTGCCTTCCTATACCGTCATGACGGCTTACGACTAAATAGTTGCGATGGAAACTGCGAACCGGGTAAGGCGTCGCAGTGGAACGCAGCCGGTCGTACTGAAGCACACTTAATCAGCGTTAAAGTGCGATTGATTGAGCGTTTGTAGATTAAAGCCTCATCGCTTGTCGGGGGGTTAGGCCATGGGATTAAAGGTGCCCGGATGTGCATTTAACGGCCGACTTGATGAATGAGTTCAACACCTGCAATCCTCGCATGTCCTGGGACCCACCGAATGGTGACCGATGATGAGTGAAGTGTGGGTAGAGCCGCTTCGTGGTCTGCTCGGAGATCTGGGGGGATTTTGCGCTGCTGCAAGGCGCGAATGGCAGCCTTGGAGTCCGTATATACGCCTCGCAAGTGGGCTCATTTTCGTCTTCTGCGCATAAGAAAGGAAGTAGCGGTGACGTCAGAACGCCGAGCCCTGATTGGCTGATCGCGTCCCCCTATCTGAGCGTCGTCTGCTCCTTTGCAACGTCGTCTGCTCGCAACATCGTCTGCGTCTGTCTTACCTTTCCTGCGACTTTCGGAAGTGCAGGTCGTTACGAGCGAGCTCGACTTCGCCTTTCAGAGAGGGCAGACGAAATAGCTCGAGCGGTACGTTGTTTTTGTCTAACAACTAGCAGACGCGCATCAAGAAGGGATCGAAGTCAAAGTACTCACCGGCGAGGTGTCCCGAAACGCCGAGGTTTGTTTGCTAAGAACCGAGAGTGAGCGTGTTGGTGCCCGCAAGTTCCCTCCCAAATACTTTTTTCCTCCTTTCGTGTGCGGCGAGACCCCTCATTCTTTAACGGCGTCGGCGGGTTGGCGCAGTTAACGTCGTCTGCTTTACGTCTGCTAGTCAAAGCGATGGCTGCATTACCTTTCCTGCGTCTGGTGGAGATTCACCGTTTTTCAGCGGCGAGAGTCACCGTTGCCTCGGGAAACGAGGAGCTAACAAGAGGAAGAAATTGACCTAGCTCTTAATCTAAAATTGAGGTCAGCGTTCAAAATATAATACGGGAAGGGTTCACAAGGGTCGCGCGGGCATATTCCATTCAGCACGCCAGCCGGTCGTGGGCAGACGGTCGCCGAGTCGCGGAGTGCCTGGTAGGCCTAACTGCTGAGCTCGCTTCTTCGGTTTCGGTGGTATCGTGGCCGTTGGAGCTTTTTCCGGGTGTTTGTGGATCCAGCGTTCTTGTTCGTCGTGGTCTGTTTCAAGTACTGTTTACTTTTTTCTTGCTGCTTGAAGTCGGAACGCGTGAGAAGCGCACGTAAAAAAATAAACGTCCGTGGGTCGTCGCGACCGCGACGCTGTCGGCCATGCTGATTTGATCGTAAGAAGTGCGTAAGACAGCTTCGGAGCTGTCGTAGGATTTCGTCATAACCTGCACGAAACTTACGAAAATTTCGTTTCGTGAATACGAATTTGTTCTTAAGTTTTGTCTTACGCACATTTTTGACGTAAGATCGTTTTGTGAATCTGGCCTCTGCACTTCCGAAAGTCGCAGGAAAAATAAGACAGACGCAGACGACGTTGTGAGCAGACGACGTTGCAAAGGAACAGACGACGCTCAGATAGGGGGTCGCGATCAGCCAATCCGGGCTCGGCGTTCTGACGTCACCGCTACCCCCTGCGCAAGAAGCAGACGAACTTGCCGCCGCATAGGTTTTGTAATCTGATGTGCGAGGCAGTTGCACAAAATCTTGTATAGCATGTAGGACGGGAACTAATTCTGCGTGTGACGTCATTGGGGGCTACTATATAGACCCCTAGTGTGAACCCGGGGGGGTTTGGCATTGTGGTGTGTAAATTCCGTATGCCGCAGTTCCCGTGGCTCCTGTCTCGGAGACGGACGCATCAGAATAAGCTATGATTTGTGTGTGGAAGGATGGGTTGTGACGGCTAACTTGCGCCCTCCTGCGTGCGTCGCCTATGTCCGGGGACATGTGGCGAGGTACAGGGGCAAAGCGCAGGTTTGAGTGTAGGGGTTGGGTAGGTATATGTATGGGGGCGTCAATGGGAGAAAGTCCGGCTTGCTCCAGGATCCATCTTCCCTGCGGTTTTCCTCAGAGGCAGGGCTATTTGTCGATCCCGATGTAGGTGCAGAACTGTTTTGAGGGAGAGAAATAGTCCAGTGTCGTAGAGTTTCTGGTTGAAGGTGGAGATAGAAAGTGTCAGGAAAGCCTTTTGTGGTGTGTTCAACGCTGGTGAGAGTTTGGAGAGTTGTTGTTTAACTGTAAAATGTGTTGTAGAATAGATAATCGTATCGAAAGCTAATGCATGAACTAGTTGGCTCGCTTGCTTTTCATAAAGACCTGCATGCTTCTTGACCACTCTGCGTACCAGGTAAGTAACCGAGTCGCATGTGCTTATTCCTGAATTGACATTAGCATTGTTTGTCCTCTCTTGTAAATGTATGCCTAGAATTTTACACGAGGAGGCTCTCAGGATAGGGTTTACGACGATGTTTAGAGATGTCTGATAATTTACAGATTGCTGATATTCGGTGTGTGGCAAAAAGGGCACTTGTGATGTGTCTGGGACAGGTTGAAGGCCTACTCGTGCGAGGTATTCACTTATGATGTCCATTCCCTGTTACACAGTTGACTCCACCTTCCCAGGTGTTGCGTGGGTCCACCAGAGAGTGGGATCATCCACATGGAAGATGTGTGACAGATGAAGGATTTGTTCGAGGCGACGGGCCAGCTGGACCATGGCGAGATTAAATTGCGAAGGTGAAAGCACCTTGTGGGGTGTTGCTCTGAGCGTGATTGATGGGGACGTCTCATCAGCTACACTAAAGCTTACTGTGCAATTTATGAGGAAGTTGAGGATGTATCTGTATAGTTTGTGTCCGCAGCCTGTTTCTCGAACTGAGGAGAGTAAGTGGTTGTGGGCGACGTAATCGAATGCTTGGTTACATGTAGGATAAATTTACCCGGCAACTTTTTGTGACTTGACATTGGGTAACAAACTAACCCATGCTTAAAATTTGATACAGGCAACGGGTACCGGTAATATGTCACATATTTGGTAATGTATTGATTGCGCAGGCGAACAGGTGGATGTTCACCATTTTGTTCTTAGCCCACGACTGAGGCAGGAAAATAGGAAAGTTTCAAAGTAGAAGAAAAACGAACAGTCGAGGTCACGTGTCCTCGACTGTTCATTTTCTTCTACTTTGAAACTTCCCTGCTTTCCTGCCTCAGTCTTGGGCTAAGAACAAAACGGTTAACATAACATATATATACACGCTGCAAATGACAATTAGGCATTCGACGATATGAACGTCGAAAAACCATTCGCAACGCAAGAATTTTAAGCATAATAAGAAACACCCTGCGTTTCTTTAATTGTCAGGGACTATAGTAACACGTGCAGTGTACATGTCTGATTTTCATGTCACTTTATTTTGGGCAGGTGTCAACGTTGATGTGCAGTTGGTCATTATTAAGCTTTCCCAAAGAAAGCAACAGCTGTCAGCGCCAAGTCCCTTGGATTTTCGCTTAGTAAAATTTATTGCCCAGTAATCTACTTCGCATATTGCCCAGAAACGATCTCGCTCTCACGCCTTGCGTAAGATGGATCATCACGTATTAGATGCTCACTCGTTACCTAGTTTAATAGCTTGCTAACACGATTTTAGAGCTGTCTCGGATAAATAAATATGGAGTGCCGATTTTCGTGCAATAGAAAAGAAATAAATGTCAATAAGAAACTGACGCGCAGAATTGTCAAAACATTCTGCCCCTCGTGTATTCGTGGTTGCACATAAATAAAAAAAAAGCTTGATACCCTTATATTAACGCTAAGTATTGGAATAAATATTGTAGTAAAGTTATTAGTTAGTTTACGAAGAAATGTCAGAAGGAGTGATCTTCGAAAACATCTATACGCTGCTTTCAACGGCCAAAAGAATAAAGGTACAAAAATGCAGCTCTGAAAATACTTACCGAAATGCTTTCTTTGTTAGTATTTTTTTTCCGGTTTTTCAGTCAATTTTAATGTAGTCACCAACTACTAAAAAAATTATGAATTTGAACGGTTTGCTGTCGAAACGCTTTTAACACTAATTGTGAGCTCATGAATGGTACTGTCATAAATTTAAATGAAACACGAAAGCTCAATTTTAATTGAAGAAATCGCTTTTTCCTTTTACTTGGTAATTTACGATAGAAAATACCTGTCCTCTTGAGCTTGAGTCATCACAAGCATGCATGTAATTTTGGAAAATAATGACGTCTTCCTTATTTTACCTTTATTGTTTCAAATCTGCTAGTCTCTTCTCCGTCGTTGGTCTGGTATTTACACGTCATTTCGCGCTTGTCATTTCTCTAGAAGGCCGTCACCTCGATTTCGTCGTTACAGCTTTCCTTCCCGGTATATCCATAGCGGTTATTTTCGACGAAGAACTCTTCCTCTTGTTCCAGGCGGTTCCAAAAGGCTTGGAAGTCCAGGTCAGGGCCGAGTCCTCCGTATTCCTTGGGGAGGCTGTCCACGGGCACTTCTTTGTGGAGGCCTTCGGTGTTCGCTCCGTGGACATGAAGCTGCGGGGAGGAAAGGCAAATATGCATACACGGGCGCGGCACACATTGCATAATGCACCGCTACATTTTATTTAAAAAAAACTAAAAAATACATGTTTTCCATATATATTTTTACGTGTAACATGTAATTTTTTAACATGTACAGGGTGTCCCGGAAAATATTTACAAGCTTTTTTTCACCGCAAATATAAACGACGCGTCGCCGAACGCTCATTCTCCGCCCAAAGGCAGCACTAGAGGTCCGAACTAGATACCATAGCGGCAGCACGAACCGTTTTTTTGTTGAATTGTTATAAGGGATTTTCTAAAAAAATTAATGGGAAAATTGCGGTCAACGGAGCTCTCGAATACATGGACCTCTATAGCACCGGAAACCAAAACCGAGCAAAAATGAGCCAAATTTTCCCATTAAAATTTTCAGAAAATGACTTATATCTATTTAAGAAGATATTGGTTGGGGCTGAAACGATATGGTACCTATATTTCGGACCTCTAGCGCTGCCTCTGGGCGGAAAATGAGCGTTCGGCGACGCGTCGTTTATTTTTGCGGTGAGAAAAATCCCGTAAATGTTTTTCGGGGACGCCCTGTAATGTATAAAAAAGCATTCTAATGTAAGGTTGATACATGAATATGCGTGTGTAGTATGGGACCCTTGCCAGTATTATTTTATTGAGAGACAAGCCAACGTTCAGTATCAGGCTGCGCGACTTGTTAGTATTTACTGTGACCACTACGTTAAAATTTCTAAGTTAAAAGTCATGCTGGGTTGAAATGCCTTGACCACACACACAAAAAAATTTGGATTAAAAATATTTTTTTATGTTTATTATAGTAAGACCAGTATAGATAAGAGCCAGTATATTTTTGGACCAGCTTACATTTCAGCCCGGTTTGATAACTCTATGAAAGTCCTTGAGGATTCTTCGAAAGCAAACAGTTTTGATAATTATTTTTTTCTGAAGACAGCAAGATATTGGAATATCCTATTAGAAGAGTTAGCCACCATTAGGGACAACGATGTATTTCTGTTCCAATTTTGTCAACTTTGCCACGTGAGTTAAAATTAACTGATTTTCCTGCCCCCTTTCCTTCTCCCCCCCCCCCCCCCCCCCCTTTGCGATAATGTCACCGAGGCGCTGTGGGTATCACGCAAATAAACGAATTAATATATTTAGCATGATGGTGTTGTCTAAATGCGAAAATATTAAAGCGAAAAATTGCTATTTCTTGCTTAGTAAATGAGCTCCTTCGGCACCAGTCCATTTTGGCCCTGCCTTTAATTAAGAAATAGAAAACCCGAATAGGACATTTATTGGCGTGCCAAGGTCCGTATATGCCAGGGGAAAATTTTTTTTTATTTCCACAGTAACTAAATTAATATTTCACTGCTTGCATTACTTTTGCTCCTCTTTATAATTTGGTCTTAAATTTGATATAGCATGCGTTTTAAATGCTGGATGCACTGCAGATAAGAATCATGTTCTTGCGTGCACATGGGGCAAGGGCAACAGACTTGAAATAAACTAGTAAGATCAAATAATTACCTGCAATTAAACTACTGAGTTCAATGAACAACAAGCATAATGATTACAATACTTCTTTAATTTTTAACGAAGTCAAAATCGCAAAAGAGCCTTTTTTAAGCGGCTAACAAACTATTTTTTTTAAAGTTTTTCATAGAAAAAAAACGCAGCAACATCGCAACCAAACCTAAATAGTCCGATTCTAAATATTCCAAAACATACACATGCCGAATTCGGTTGAGATGTGACAACATTATGAACAAACATTCTTCTGCTCATATTGCAAAAATGTTTCAAAATGATATATATATATATAAAGGAAAAAAAACAAAAAAAACATTTGTATGTTGACCCAGATGTCTACCGATACTCTTTCGCGGAGGGAAAGTAATATTTTGATAATGATTTTCAGTGCTAAACTTAAGTTACAGAAGACTGTGATAGATTTGAGACAGTTAAATCTACTTATGTGATGGCTGCTGACGTCACAATTCGAAGAAAAATGCACAAAAATGTATCAAATGTATGGTTGCCAAGAGGAGTAAAATACATATTTTACTAATTTCGCAATCACAACCGGCATTTATTCTTTTCATTAATAAAATATGAACATTCGACAATATTAAACAAAAAAAAAAACATTTTCTTTTTGTGAAATATTGCTGTTTTTTTTTTTTATTATTTGCAGCTTCCCTTAGAAGAACTATGGTTCTTGGGTGAGACAACTATGCTACGCTACTACCGATTTACCGGAACCCACCGAAATCCATGTTGGAGGCAACCGTCGCTGTTATGCTACTTTTTGTGTGCTTTGGGGCCGTGTTTGCACTGTAGCTCGTCCTCTCACTCGAGGTTTACCATGGCCCATTGCGCCATAAATAATTGTGCCAGCATTAAAAGTCGACAACAACGAAGCCACGGCCAGCAGTATTGTTTTTTTTTTTTCTAGAATTCCAGCAATTATCAGGAATCAGGACAGGGCGACGCTCAAGCAATCGTTTCGCAAGCGTTATGAAGGGCTCCGACGGATACGCCGGCACAACCTCGTACAGGCGGGTAAAGACGGGAGCAGAACGCGGCAAATCCTGGGAGCTAACATCTCCGGTCCCGAGAAAAAAAGCAAGAAAGAAAGCAACAAAAAATAAAAAAAAAAAAAGCAGATGAAGGTTTAGGTCTGTTCGTTTTGCCGCAATAAGTTGAAGTTGCTCGAGCGCTTGTCAACTTTATTTAACGTTGTAAATGCTCCATTCCGTTTTTTTTTTTTTTTTTTTTTTTTTTTTTTTTGCGAAGTAAGCGAAATTAACGTGGTACAGACCTTACAACTGATGTTTTTCTGCTTCTTTGTGCACATTAAGGCGTCGATAGCGATATGGGCTCATCGGGATCGCCAGCTGGGACCGCCGACCAAATGCATGGGGCCTTTCAATCTAGGTTTTTGTATCAACTCTATGATCTCGACAGAAAAACTTCGCACACAAACTAAGGGTTTGTGGACTGCACTTCGTGTCAGGTAAGGAACCTCTTTGCGATTGGCTAGGAAAAAGCAATATTCCGAAATGTGGTTATACAACGACGGCTTTATGACTTTATGGGACTACTGCCGCCTTAATATGACACTAAATGCCTTCAATATGGTGCCAAGGCACTGCTAGCAGAGAACAGTGTTGGTATCATATCAGTTTTAAGCCTAACCGGAAGTGACGGCAGGTACAAGAAACGTATAGCGTTTAGTTACTGTTGAACAAGGCAACGTTCATTTTAAAACACACACGCTCAGGCGTCATATGCATTCATTCCAAGAACATTTATGTGCGGTGAAACAATTGAAATTTTGGATGTTTTTGACAACTAATCACGAGCGAAATATAGCACCATCTAGAGCAGGTATCGCCATTTGTTTTTGAAAAATATGTTCCACACCATGATTCCGTGCGCGACACTATACGGCGAGCAAGTACATCTGCTCCTTGCGCACCTCGCGCATTTGTTTACCCCCGACCTGAAGCAATTACGTCGCGCGCTTGGCTTCAGGTAGGGGGTAAACAATTACGACGCGCGCTAGTGTCATCGCGCGTCCCGTCACGTTATCTATAACGTCATTAATCTCAGGAAAAGGGGAAAAGGGGGACAAAGTACACACACAAATACCAGGATACCAGAATCAGGGCGATTATTTCAGTCGCGCACTGTCCCCCTAGCTGTGTTTGGAGCTTGTGTGTTTGTCCTTTGTCCCCCTTGTTCCCCATCTTGAGTGATTATTAACGTTAGTATTGTCCAGCTTGCTTGCACGTTTGCATTATTTGCATTATCATCACAGCGTCATCTATGTTGCCCTTTGATTGGTGTACTCCTCTTTTTGTCCCGATGTCCCGAAGACGCAATTTTGGAACACTTGCTCGCCGTATAGTCTATGGTAGGTCAAAATGCAATACCAACTCCGCCACCAGCTTGAGTTTTTACATTTCACAGCACTCCGACTCACGGGCAGCCAAAGCACAACCGAAGTCAACGAGCGCTCATCGCGTAACCAATGTTGGAAGTTAGGCGTAACGTATTTCGACGTTATTGGTAACGTGTTAGTTTTTACAGTAGTATTATACTAACATATTGGTGACAATCTAAAGTGACTAACGAATAAAATATTATGGTTACTAGGAACTTACCAAACCGTTAGGATGTTCCGCGTACCGCAAAACCGGAGCCTCTGAAGCACACTTTTAAGTACGCGCCCCGCGGTCGCGGTAACCATGGGGCACGCATTTAAAAGCATGCTTCCAAGGCTTCAGTAGTGCGGTCCGCGGAACGCGGTAACGCTTTGCTAAAAACCCCTATCCGAGAGTTTTAGAGAACCGTTTTTGCACATCCGATACGGTATACGGTGGGCCCTCGGGTACGAACTCCGCATGTGCGAGTCTTCTGTGATAGCGCATGCGCAGTGCGTACCGGAGGGTCCATCGTACCGTATCGTGCGTGCAAAGAAGGTTCCCTAAAACTCTCTATTATTTCACAGTATTTCCTATACAATTGAATAGCTCGTTACTGGTAACTTTTGATCTAAATTCGTCACGTTTCCCGACCCTTTAAAGGGACAGCGTGTCATGGGGACCCTCTGCAAGTTTTATGAGCGAAGCATAAAATGTATTGTGAAATTACTTTTAACCGTTTAGTTCGTGTCATAATTTCTATCCGATTCTTACTAATGCCAACAAATACCAGTTAAATCTAAACTAACACAAAACTCACGCAAAAGCAGCGTTCGTTTGAATTACGAAGCAACTGTAACGGTATCTTTTATGTTCAATTCATGTCTAAACTCTCACCACTGTCCCGTATGCAAATTTAATTTAATACAATCGCGTCGCCTAGCTTGGACATCTTCGCAGATATACCAGTTTTTTCGCCTGGACTTGGCAAGTCTAGTTGAAAGAAAACTTTATTACATTTTGTGTCAAGTGTTCGACCTATTTGTAGTCATGCTAATTTGTACATTTTAAGCTGTGCGTGTGCTATGTTTCTTCTTTTTGTTTTGTGTGCGCCAATGTGAAGACCCGCGTGGCTGTTTTGGGGCACATTAAATAAACAAACTAATATTATTATTATTATCTTGTTACATTTGCTTAATGAAATGAGTCTTAACAACGCGTTAGATACTGAGAAACTAAAGTTTAACAGTATTTTGTTCCTTTTTTTCGATTACAGGAAGAACTACGCTCATAATACGTCAATAATTATAGTTTTTCTTTTTTTTTTTTTTTTGCTTGTGATTTAAATGATTTATTCCGACTAAAACAAAGTAAAAAAAATTACGAACGCCTGAACATACTTAGTTAAATTTAAAACAATTTTCGCACAGGCAGCCTTCCTTCACATCCGAGTGGCGCCGCCTGCCAGAAGTCAGGGCTAAGAAGGTCGAAATTCGGTGATACCGCACAACCTGTTCGGTAAATTAAAGGGCTAGTGGCCGGTGCCATTTTCGGTGTTCGCGCGTAAGGCGCGCGCTTTGCTTGCCTTGTGAAGCCGCCATCACGTGCATTCCGGGTTTGTAGAAGACGCACACTGGACTGTGGTATGGTAAACCTTAGAATAGTGAGGTGATTTCACCGCTTACAAAAGTCGCGAACGAATTGGTGGGGGAAAAGGATAAAACATTTTTGAAAACTAAAGCTTTCAAGCTTTTTTTTTAAATTTATTTATTGACACATGTCCCTAAAGTTTGTAATTATTCATTCATGAATTTCTTAAGATTAACTTCCGTAGCACTATATGGCTTCACGGTGGATGCTAAACATGCTGACTCGAAAATCAGACGTCAAACGTCTATGAGGAGTGTATATAAACACTTGTGTCACGAAATGACAAACTATAAATTAAACAGTTCAGAATTCATTAAAAATAAGGCCGCTCTCAAAGGTTGCTACATAACTTTTTTATCACAAAATGTAACTTACTTTCTCGAATCATCTCTAGACAGATCTCTGTGGAATAAGTTCCCGTCCAAGTGATTTTACTTCTTCATTTATTGAATGCCGCAGAAGGTATAATAATATAACTGCCGCCATACCTGCACCATTATTTTACTGCAAAGTTCAAAATAAAGGTAATTTTAAAGCATGAGATGAGATTTTACTGCGGTTGCCTCAGCCTTCAGCGTTAGCCATGCCTTTTAATATAACATTCGAATAAACCCCACGGAAGCGGGACTCTAAAACTGCATGAATCTCCGAAAATTCACGCATCTGCCAAGTTGATTTAATTCGCCCCTCGGTCTATTGTGCCTTTGTGTGCGCTTTGCTTAGCGTGATCGTGTCTTATTATCTTGTTTCGAACGCTTCTTCTTATGTTTTGCTCTGGAGACGGTCAAAGTGCGCCTCTCGGCACGCGTTTTGGCATTGACTGTGCTACGGCGGCAATTCGTTTCCGTCAATTTCTATGTTGTTTTGTATGCTAGCTCGAGCTGTCACAATCATGTACTATGAAGCGTGTTTCATATGAAGCGTTTTTGGCCCTAGAGCGGCGCGATTTCTGCCGTCTTGGCGCCCTGGCCAGCACCAGCGGTTGAGCAGCGCGAGCGCCGTGACGGCAGAAATCGCGCCGCTCTAGGGCCAAAAACGCTGCATGTGAAACACGCTTAAAGGATGTTGTCAGGCCATTGGGAGGGAGATAGAACTATAGGGGGCGCTTTATCAAGCCTGTTGTCCACACAGCCCAGTGTTTACTAACACAGCATCATACAAATTTTGAACCTCTCTTAGCAAGATCGAGGCACGAGCGCTTCGCTCTGACCAGTTCATTAGTCGCACGAGGAGCGGCTTTCGAATCGTCCTCTTCGATTTATCTAATCAACAACAAACAATAAAATTTGGCATTTTGCGCGCACAGCAGAAGCGTATCACTAGAGGCGTGTCTTTTCGATCTCCTCCCCGTCAGGGTTGCTGACACGAGCATGGGGTTTGATTTCGCGGATCATTGGCACGTGTTCTCGTGCAAACGACACCACGGATGAAGCAACGCACTCCCGCCAGAAGCTTTAACAATGTTGTACGCTAAGTATGAGAGGAAGAATAATCGAATGACACTAATACCCCAATCCGATGGCCAGCCTAAATGTACGTTTAACATAGGGGGGATCGGTTACCGGGTGGGCTAGTGCGCACCAGCTCGGAGCACGTGGATAGGAGGCTGGCGCTGCAGAACCCAGGGATCCTGGGTTCAATCCTCACCTCTGCCCGTGCGGCGTGCGGTCGTGTATCACTACCGCAGGGTACACGTCAAAGACCCCAGGCCAGTGGTGGTACAGTACTGGGTAAATTGCTCATCTACAGCGAGTGACTTGTCAAAACTTTGAAATAGCTGACCAACTACACGCTGTATAAATATCCACACAACCCCAATTACCTTTAACATGGGTCTCTTTGCAATTGGCGAATGAGCCAGCACTCATCGGTCGCGAGGATACACCACACGCGGAGGATAACGAACTGATTCGCCTCTTACCATAAAGGTCCCTTAGCCAAAGAAACCTTTATGATCCTGTAAACGGGGTATAAACACCCTTGTCGGTTCTGCTGCGCCTCTTAGTTGTTTTTTTTGTTTTTTTTTTTAATGCTCATATTCCCGCGTCATATGGCAACACGCCTCTCGCTCCTGCTGCGTCGCTCGAAGAGGTGGGTGCGTCGCTCGAAGGAGAGAGGTGGCTGAGACTTCCTTAGAAAAGGCATGTAATGCTTGAAACCTGGATTGTCGTTCGAGAAAGAGTTGAGAAATGTTCATATACCGCGTGAAGCCAAGCGATTATCAGCTATGCGAAGGGACCGAGTAAATTGGTTTCGTAACGTATCGAGCTAGTATTTACTAAGACGGTGTCTAAAGGGGGTGTACTTCGTTTATCAAAATTAAACGAACTTACTTGAATAAAAGCTATAAATCAAATAAACTGAAACCCGTAACTACGACGTGCGCCTGCCGTCGAAAGGTATCTGATTGACGCAACTAGCCGACAGATGGAAGCACGTAAGATTGCCGGCGGTCACAACTAGTACTTCCCTTGACCTTGGCAATAGCAGACGATGTTTCTGAGCCAGAAGCGATAAGCTATTTTTCTGTGCTAATTGTAAGTGAACAATGTTTTTTTTTTATTTTTAACAATAAAGCAAAACTAAATTGAACAAGGCAAGTACAAACGAAGCAGATGTTTTCTTTATTCATGTTTAGCCGCCATCTATCGTCTGTTGCACCAATCATATGTCTTTCTACAGCAGACAGACGCCGTAGGTAGTAATTTTAGGTCGTTAATTTTTAACGATTGGCTGTGGCAGGTTTGTTTAAAAAAAATTTGCAAACCCAATGTCCACCACCTTCAGACACTCGTTGAGTAAATTCGAGCGCAGTACTTTAAGAAACTAATTTATGCGGTCTCTTCTGACAGCCAGCAATCTCCTTGACTCACGCTGAAGTTTATCAGACTGTTCGTGCGACTCACCCTATCTGCCATCTTCTTGCTGATGAAAGGTCGAACCATAGCGTAAGCCATGTCGAAAGTGTACGACTCATTCACGATGTGAGTCGCTTTTATTCGTGCCGGTACACAGTCCTGCGATATTTGAAGAAGGTTAGTGGAGACAGAGCAAGCGAAAACAACACTTGGTTTTCTTACGAAACTACACGGAGCATTGGTCTGCGTATTTTGGCAATTTTCTTTCTAAACAGCACTTAAAACGATGGAAATGAGCCGTTATATGTGCAGCATATTTTGCTTAGTCGGAAGGTAATAACAAAAAAAAAAAAAAAGGCCTGGGAAAGAAAGTTATTAGTTCAGTCAGCAGAAAAGCATTAAACCACGGCTGACGCAAGTGTACAGAAACAATTAATAGCTTCAAGAATTAAAGTGCGCTGGCTACTTTTGAAAATTATTTTCAGCTGGCATACGTTATGTGGAAATTTGTAGCTCGTCGTTCCTTTATGTAAGATAAGTTGTCAGATTTGGGGGGTAAAATGTCTTTAAGTAGTCACTTGGCGAATTTCAATAATTTGCGTTAAATAGCGCTCGAAGAGAATTTTTCTTTCTAAAATTTAACAACTTATTTGGCCTATATTAACGGCAGGCTACAAATCCTCAATTCAGACATGCCAGCTAGAGAAAGCAGATAGAAAACTATCAAATTGTAGTTAATCTCGCAATGAATTGATTTTGTATACTTTTGCCCTGATGTCCGCCGCTGTCGATAACTTTGCTCTGCAGGAATGATTTCACCGTTTCCGGCGTCCTTTTTGTTCTTAATATTTACGTTCTTAAAATTAAACGCCCCTTAAATTATGTTTTTGCTTTGTGTGACTCCACTGGTGGGAAGTATATGGCCCTTTCGGACTACTTCAGGGACTGCTCGCCAGTCACTGGAGCTAATCAGAAATCTCTATAAAATATATTTGGGAATATTAAAACCTACTTTGCACTTAATTTCAAGGGCATTACAAAATATTTTGAATTATTCTGTTAAATATTTGGGGACCCAGATCGTGACTTTATCTTAACATTTCGAGTTGCACGCCCAGGTTTCTATCTTGCATCTAAAATATATTTTTCCGACAATCAACCTAGGTGTTATATACTCGAAATAAAATCATCATCATATGTCATTTAGGCAGTGACACATGCCAACCGTTCTAACGATATTTGGACTGAACTGTATTTGCGCTTTACGGACGTCACGAACGGCGCTACGAATCGTACATTCCTGCAACTATATGCGGAAACATTTCATGCCAATTCAGATCAAACTTTAATTTCTTTCTGCAGACAACGTTTACAATTTGTTAAACTATAGCAGCAGCCTACTGGTTCAATAAATTTAATATACCCTCTGTGGAAAGTCCATCGAGTAATATTTGGTGTCGCCATTGCTTGGACCACCTAGCCTAAGTCTTTTTAGACTTAGGTTAGGCGGCTCAAGCTACCGGCCGTTACAGCGGGTTTAGCCATTAACATTCATCTATCCATCCCTATATGAACACGATGCGCGTGACTGGATCCCAGCCTTCGCCGAACGCTAACGCAGCGCTCGTTTCTGAATACGAGCACAGAGTATGCGAGCAAGCAATGGAGGACGGTCGTTGGCGCGGACTTTTAAAAATAATCTGCGTAAACCCGTTTATTTTTTTGTTTTTGTTTTTGTTTTAGTCACAGCGCTAAGTGGATTTTATTCACTCGCAGCGTTAGCAGAATGAGGATGGCAGCAATACCATGAGCACGATATGCAATAACGACTATGGTGTTATTGAGAGAGCGGCCCTGGGCACCATCATTTGCACTTGCAGCGTTGCTGCTGCAATATCGGATCTTTCTTCAGCCCTTATCGGTAAGGAAGAAAGACTGTCGTATCACAGGAGCAGAACGTACATGAAATTAACAAATATGTAAAGGCTGCTTACCACAGCAAAAGCACGACTTGATTCGTCGAAAAAGATATTTTATTTTTATATAATTGCTATCCCCCTTTGGTCGTGGTGATTTTAATAGCATAATTCTTCAGCCAAAGCTTTACGAAGAGCGTCCGAACCGTTTACAATCTAAACACTCGCGACGCTAGTAGGCTGCTCTGCTTAGACCAATTTGATACTGAAATCTCACTGAAACAGCAGGAAAACGGTTTTTAAAATTGCCGTCTAGTTTCACTCAAAAAATGAAAATGGCAGTGTAAGTCTTTCAAATGCCCGGCCTCCATCACGTGCTCCATGCTCTCCGCGCCTTGCTTTGGAGGCGGGCGCGAGCTCGAGGTGCACACTACGCGGAAGCTTTGGGATAGAAGACCCACGCTGGAGGCGGGACAACCAAAGCTGCTCCCTGATGTTCGCATCCTGTCAGTAGCTATAGCACGGCACAGTTTGAACTTATCGATTTAGATTTAGAGGAACCCTCCGCGTTAATGTCGTTTAAGTTGTGCGGCGTACAAGGTGAAACAGTGTTCTTTTTTTTTAATTAAAGATCTATGATGGGGTGTGCAAGAGTGCTACTGCATTCTAATGAACTGAAGCGTAAATTATGCGAACCAGGAAAAGCCGAAGGGACATCTTCAGCAGGCCGAAGTTGATGGAGAGAACTTTGTCCGCAGTAAATCCGCCAAAGTCGTGGATGCAGGTGACACCTTTTGTTTGCACCACCGGGTCAGGTATCAGATGTTCCATGATAAGGGTTAGGCCTTGTAGTGCTTCGCCGTAGGAAGTAGTCTGGGGATTCCAGGCACCTGAAAATAAAGCGAGCACTTTCTTAGACATCACGCAATATTTGCTGTAATCTTCCTTCGATACTAGACGTTCACCCTCAAGCTGAGGCTAAAAGTTCCGCCTTCAGCGCGAGCTGGCTGGCTTCCGCAGTGCTTTGATTGCACGTGCCTGCACGTTCACACTTGTGTTAGCAAGGGCAGACGCTCGCGCTGAAGGCGGAGCTTCTAGTCTCAACTTAAGGGTGAATGCATGGAGCAAAAGAGCGCTAACATCTCAGGCAGTAGTTAGCGTCACAACGCTACTTCGCGATATCGGAATTATGACCAAAGATGTCCAATTTACACCACAGGCTCGTGCTGAATTAGGATTTGTAATGAATCAAAATAAGTAAAATATTTAGGCTTTAGTTTGATTTTACACGAAAGTCCCGTCCACTTCTGAGCCATTGTCATATTCGAATCTTTGTTTTTATCTTTGAGTTCGCGCATAAATTTAATTGACATTTTTTTGACAGCGATAGCTACTATGGGTTCTTCCCCTCACCCGAAGTGATAGCTTAGGAAGTACGTCGTTGATATTATGAAATGTTTAAAAAAGTTATTCTCCAATACCGCCGTTGCTCTCACGAGATCTGCCCCCGGTTCGGCTTATTGTGTAAAGAGAGCGCGAAACACCGAAGCCAGGCCAGCTGCTTCGACGTGCCGTCTAAGCAATCACATGTGTTGGCGGGAGCTGTACATATTAATCTCGCTCAGTGCCCGCTAGATGGCCACAGTTGCAATTAAGTCGCATCACGCCATCTGTATCTCCTGGTGCCTCCATTAGAGTGCCTCTGTTCTGTAGAAGTAGATAAACGTATCACTTTCCAATCAGACGTTAGAAATGACCCATCCAGGTGAGGTGCCGACCCCGGCATAAGAATATATTAGGGTCCGATACTTTGTCGCAGCTGTCGCTGTGACTGCATAGTCGATTCGCACGGGATTGATTACTTTGAAGTTAGCGTTTTTAAGTTCTAATACATGTGCCGTATTCAATGGAAAGTGAGAGTTCACAGTTAATATTTAACAGAACGTTCACTATCTCGATCAGGTCTTTCTCTAACGCAAACTTCTTAAGGGAGCACACTCCCTAGGAGGGTCAACTTTTGAACCCTTGGCTTAACATTAATGAAATTTACAGGGCCAGCTGGTGGTCATCCTAGAGGGTGCATAAGAAGATTTCATGTCCATCGGTTAAGTGCGAAGGAAATTAGGCCAGCTTTTATCAGCAATACGCCTACATTCTTTAGTTAATCAATCGTCGGAAAACTATCACGATATTCAAGATATTTATTCGCTAGATATATAGCAGAATGCCTAGGAGGTGCAGCTATAGAAAGCTTTTTGTAAAAAGTAATTTATTTCTATCAATTTTTTCTTCTGCAAAATTGGTCAACTTGTTGGTGTTCTGTATTTACAGGCATCTGCAAAGTGACAAAAACATTCCATAGCTGCATTCCTTATTAAATTTCAGTTAGAAAAAAGTGAAGAACGAGCCTCCCCTGTATTGCCATTATCAAACGATAGGTTGACTAAAATGAATTTTATACCAAAAAGTGGAACGGAGAAAAATGCGTGCTCTAACCCTACCTTTTCTTTAGCTTCGGTGGACGGAAAATAATTTATAAAAAAATAACTATGCAGTGTAAACTAGTGAACGTTTCTGGGAATACTCTCTGGATGTAGATGGATGTAAATATGTAATTGAACTAAAACTAGATGGATGTAAATATGTACTTTAACTAAAAATAGAACTAAATGAAAATATTTAAGGAGGGACACCCCCCTTAAATATTTTCATTTAGTTCTATTAGTGGCTATGACGCATCGGTAGGCCTTTTTTAATTATTGTAAATTAGTTAAGGTGTGAATGAATGAAAGACGTTTACAAATATCTGTTATGCAAAACATAGAGCGCAGCTCTTGAGGAGGAGGGGGCGAGGGTGCGGAGGGGAAGGGAGGCACATCCTCCTCCATACCCTGCTCTCCTACACCTCCTTTCCTCGTCCTCCTCCGCCTCCTCCTCTTCTCCCTCCTCCTTCCCTCCTCCTCCTTGCCTTATCTCTCCTCCTGCAGCTGAATTTGCTCATTTAATGGGTGACGTGACACGAAGTCGTAACGCCATTTTCCCCGCTAAGTTTAGCGGGGAAATAATGCAACGCGCGGGGTTACGCCGACGCCGACGGCAACGCCAACGCCGCTCAACCCGGAAACGGGCGCCTAAAAGCTGCGCTCTAAAAAACGTGTGAGTGAGCATGACAACATTGTATTCTTCCTTGCTGACAAGTTCTCTCTTTTCCACTGAAATAAATCCACAACCTTCCACGATGCCGTTTCTCAGTTTTACAAAAGTCCAGCTTGGCTGGACGTCGGCTCATAGAGCAATATTGTTCGTTTGTTTTGTGTTTTGATCCCGGTATCGTGATGACCTCAAACTTTCCCATTCTATCACCACTCGTAGCGTCACATTCTCACTAACGATCAGCCTTTTGCTGTACTTTATTTATTCGTCGGAAAAACTGCGTTTCGTATTCTCTGACAGACCCAGTAGATTTTGACAAAAACCTCGGGTGTATGTACAAGTACCGCCTCGAATAAGAACACTTGTACGAAGGATACTTGAAGCGGCGGGGACACAAGTTTTAAAGTTACCGGGACACGAGAACTCACCTGCTTTTAACAGTACCACCGGCCGGCCGTGAATATCTGGTTGGGGGAACACCATCATCATATTTCTGACATCGAGTTTGACATTCGAAGGTACAAAGTTCTCGAAGATACAGGGGAAGTTTTTTCGGGTCTTGTAATACTCCTTGACTTTCTTCTGTGCTGTATCGACGTTATACTTGCGAACGCGAAGAAAGCGAAGCAAGAATTCGTCATCCCTTCTTGAGTGGAGATCAGGCTCCTCTGAAATAAGAAGAATAAATATAATCATAGGTTGGGAGAATGTGGCAACCAATATAACATATTCGTACAACGTCAAATATTTATGTGAACACCTCACTTCTTCTAGCAAACATGAAAATTTTGGAAGGTAAATCTCAGCCGTTCCATTCCTCTTGTAAAAGTTGCAGGTGTAACTGAATTCGAAACAGATGTGATTCATCTTTAATACACTACGACTAATCTTAATATGAATGAATTGGCTACCAAATTTCTCAAACACAAAGTGATGTTTTCAATTTTAACGGTATAAAAATCTGACAGCTCCAGCGTACCTTTAAGAAAAGACTACCATTAATGCATCTATACAAGAATTTATGCAGGTTGCTTCTAATCAGCTTTGAGACCCGTTATTGTGATATGAGTTGTGCAGGCTGATATTTTTGAACACGAGTTTATTTGTTTGGCTCTGGCGTATCGACAACGTGATATGTAAGCCGCAAAAAAAAAAAAAGAAGAGCATTTCATCTTAGAGAACTATATTGGCAAATCTAGAGAAATTCGAAAGCTGGGTGATAATACAATAAGATGCTGAACAAGATAAAATTTCGCTCAATTATAAATAAATAAAGAAGTCAATGACTTCAATGATTACAAGCCTTTCCTCGAATAATTATTTTTCAGCCTTCTGGCTATATAAAGAAACTCGAATCCGGTGTCAGTTTTGCTCAAACTCCATCCAGAATATTATTCATTAAAAAAAGCTCGGCCTTCGTGTTAGTGCTTAAGTATATATACTATATATATATATATAAGTGTGAGGCAGAGTAGTTTGAGTACAATGGAACGGGAAAATGTAATAAGTCAGAGATGCGCACTTGCGGAGTTGCTATGCTAGGAGAGCATTGTATGTATTACGACAGTTTCGCCGAGAGGCTTGGCTTCGACAGGATATATATGGGTGATTTCATCTCAAATCGGGCAGGCTAAAAGAATCTAATTTTTAATTTTCACGAAAAAAAATATACGTTTTTGGGGTATTTCTCAAATGAAGGAGGGCGCCAACCACAGGTTCTCCCGATTATTTGTTCTAGAGTTACGAGCCGTAGAAGCCGCAGTGGCAGAAACTAGTGTTTTTGCCTGCCGTCGCAGGTCGCGTGTTTGACACCCTCTGCTGACGTTATTGTATTCTCTACACCCTTCTAACTTTTCCCCATCATTTAATAGGTATTATAAAAATACCTTGATGTATTCAAACAATTTTTAGGAATTTGATTGTTTTCTAAAACACAGGTCGAACTCGTCACTCCGGTCGCTTTTCGGTTAAATTTAACAGGTCATTACTTTGTCTGTACTTAAGGTAAATTTTCTTTATTTGGCTCTACAGAAAGCCCAAAGCAAGCCCATTATAGATATAATAATATCATTATAATCTGTCGAGTAGCCGCTCCGCTACCTTCACGTAAACGTTGTAAGAAATAGCAAATGTTGAAAGTTTGAGGTCGATTTTCTCAAAAACCCCCTTTTTGTAAATTTTTATTTTTTAAGTTATTTCAGACATATTAGTCGACTACAAGAAAAAATAGTCTAGAAATGTAATATTTTGGTTGTATGTCTTTTGTTTGAGCCGCAATCGCGTGAAATGTGTGAACATTTGTTATTTTTTACAACGTTTACGTGAAAGTAGCGGAGCGGCTACTTGGCAGATAATAACGATATTATTATATCTATAATGGGCTTGCTTTGGGCTTTCTGTAGAGCCAAATAAAGAAAACTTACCTTAACTACAGAAAAAGTAATGACCTGTCAAATTTGACCGAAAAGCGACCGGAGTGACGAGTTTGACATGTTTTTTAGAAAACAATCAAATTCCTAAAACTATTTGAATACATCAAGGTATCTTTATAATACCTATTAAATCAAGGAGGAAAGTTAAAAAGGTGTAGAGAAAACAATGGCTCCAGCAGAGGGTGTCAAACGCGCGACCTCCAACGGCAGGCAAAAACTCTAGTTTCTGCCACTGCGGCTTCTACGCTTCGTAACTGAAGAACAAGAAATCTGAAGAACATGCGGTTTTCGCCCTCATTTATTTGATAAATGCCCCCGAAACATATATTTTTTCCGTGAAAATTAAAATTCATACGTTTTTATTCTGCCCGATTTGAGATGCCATTCCCATATCGGGCAGGCTGAAAGGGTCCAGCTTCTAATTTTCACGAAAAAAATATATGTTTTAGGGGCATTTCCCAAATGAATGAGAGCGCAAACCGCAAGTTCCCCAAATTTGTTGTTCTCGAGTTACGAAGAGTAGAAGCCGCAGTGGCAGAAACTAGTGTTTTTGCCTGCCGTCGCAGGTCACGTGTTTGACACCCTCTGCTGGCGCTATTGTTTTCTCTACACCCTTTTAACTTCTCCCCCTCATTTAATAGGTATTATAAAGATACCTTGATGTATTCAAATAGTTTTAGGAATTCGATTGTTTTCTAAAAAACATGTCAAACTCGTCACTCCAGTCGCTTTTCGGTCAAATTTGACAGGTCATTACTTTGTCTGTACTTAAGGTAAATTTTCTTTATTTGGCTCTACAGAAAGCCCAAAGTAAGCCTATTAGAGATATAATAATATAATTATTATCTGCCGAGTAGCCGCTCCGCTACCTTCACGTAAACGTTGTGAAAAATAACAAATGTTCACACATTTCACGCGATTGCGGCTCAAACAGAGGACATACAACCAGAATATTACATTTCTAGACTATTTTTTCTTGTAGTCGACTAATATGTCTAAAAGAAGTTAAAAAATAAAAATTTACAAAAATGGGATTTTTGAGAAAATCGACCTCAAACTTTCAACATTTGTTATTTCTTACAACGTTTACGTGAAGGTAGCGGAGCGGCTATTCGACAGATCATAATGATATCATTATATCTATAATGGGCTTGCTTTGGGCTTTCTGTAGAGCCAAAGAAAGAAAATTTACCTTAAGTACAGACAAAGTAATAACCTGTCAAATTTGACCGAAAAGCGACCGGAGTGACGAGTTTGACATGTGTTTTAGAAAACAATCCAATTTCTAAAAATATTTGAATACATCAAGGTATTTTTATAATACCTATTAAATGATGGGGAAAAGTTAGAAGGGTGTAGAGAATAAAATAACGTCAGCAGAGGGTGTCAAACACGCGACCTGCGACGGCAGGCAAAAACATTAGTTTCTGACACTGCGGCTTCTACGGCTCGTAACTCGAGAACAAAAAATCGGGAGAACATGTGGTTTGCGCCCTCCTTCATTTGAGAAATACCCCCAAAACATATATTTTTTTCGTGAAAATTAAAAATTACACACTTTTAGCCTTCCCGATTTGAGATGAATCACCCATATATATATATATATATGACATTTATTTTTTTTTTTTTGCAAAGTTTTTGTCGACAAACGATAAAATTATTTGATTTTGCCAAGTAGCTTAAAACAGAAGCCTGCAACCGATTCCCTTCCAAACCGACATATCTTATGGAGCCTGCGCGACCATATGTGTAAAATGTTGCGTCGCAAACGGAGTACTCAAACCTCCTTAAATCTTATTCAGTGTTTTCTCTGAAAAGAATCCACCAGAATCGCACTTCGGGTATCTTTTTCCTTAATAAACTACACAACTACCATAACCTTCCGCCAGTACGGTAAGGAAACAAATATTTGTGTGTAAATACCTGGTCTGTAACCGTTTACCATAGCTTTATCCCTCAACGCAACGAAACTCCGAGAAATTGCTTTCTCCAAGTTGTAAAGAAAAAAATTACATTACGCGTGGTTCGCTTTCTAACTTGCTCTTTGAATAATGCTTCGCAGAAGTGTAATTAATAATATTGTAGTGTTTTAAGATTCCTTTGCAGGACGCTTAGATTTGGCCTTTAAGGGAGCCAATCAGGGTTCTATCAAGGTACGATGCTTGTCCCCCAAACAAGATTTACACCTGCTGCATAAAGAGGGCCCATATTGACAGCCCTCCTCTTCGACCCACGGTGAGTCAGTTGAGCCAAATTGGTGTCACACAAGAGCTCCTAATCAGGCACCCAAGAAGGGCCACCCTTCTGATAGCTTGGGGGGCGTTTCTTCTCATGAGAATCACGTGCCCACAGCAGACCACCTGCATAGGAAGCTAAGCACCTCTTCGCATTACCACCTTGAGGAAGTGAACAGGCTGGGATAGAAATGACAACGGAAAGTGAAACTTCGTTTTAGTCGTGTGTGCGCTCAATTGTGTAGAAACCTATTACTTGCCAAGCAAATGAATATCATTGTCCAGACGGTCGTACCATGCCAACGAGCCCGCCAATCTGGAATGGCGAATATTTTTCAAGAACTGGTGGTGCTTCCAACATTAAATTAGCAATTTTTAACGACAGTGTCCAAAATTGTGATTCGTTCCGATTTAAAACCGGTAGTGATTTTAAAAACAAACGCACATGGTCCACTACGTATAAATGCATCACTATCATCGGCGCTGAGAAAAGTCCAATGACTATGACGCGTGTGCAAAAATCCAAACGTGTTTTCTTTTTTTTTTTTCTTTTTAAAGCACCATTGCGTGAAAATTTCTTCAAGAATATTGAGTTCAACAAGGTATACCACCTAAAGGTTTCGGTAGTTATATACCCAGGCGAGTTTGTGGACTTAATCGCTGGAGATAATTTGAATGTTTTTAAACATCTCGGGTTATACGTTATCATTTCTGTCTCGGGAGTCGATGCCGGAATTTAGCTCAAAATTGCTTTTTCGTCTGGCACAGCTCGGGTATATTCGTCTCGGAAAAACAAGGAACTGTTCCTCTCGCTATATCAAACTCGATATAAAGCGATAACTTTTTTTTTTCCGCCCTGCCTCATTAGAGTGTGCCAGTAATATGTTTTGTACTTATGCATCTGCACTGCGACACTGTTCTCTATAGTTACTCTCAACTTAAGAAATGCAGGATCTGAGGTTTTGTATTGACGCGTCGTGGTCTCTTTCTTCGCCCATCTTCTCAGCTATTGCCGCGATTTCATTGGCAGCGGGGCGGTAATAAGATGCTCTGGAATATCCGCGCTCTGCGTTTTCTATGCGGAGTGCAAGTTCGTCTGCTTCGTGCAAACGGGTTGCGATAATTTCAGAACCGCGAGCTCTTATTGGCTGATTGAACAAAATAGTGGGTAGACCTCAAGGTATCTAGCATTGAGGTCTACCCACTATCCTTCCAATCGAAGCCAATCAGAAGTCGGCGTCGTTCTGATGTCACAGCAACCGTTGCGCAAGAAACAGACGACTTGAACTTCGCGTTGTTAAGTTGTCAGTGAATACAGATTCTCTTACAGAACGACATCGACCCAATCCAACTCAGGGATAAGATAAGAACATATGTCATCACCACCCGGTAAATTACCAATCTGAGGGCAAATATAGAGCGAGCGTTTGTGGCCAATGATTGCGAGAGGAAAACACCGAGCTCTAAGAAGGTTCAGAGCCCACCACGCACACTGACTACTGCTAGCCGAGGCATATGTTCGGAGTAAACAAAGGCGGAAGATGCCAGTGAAAGCCCATCTAACAGCCTTATCTATGCCATGAATTGGGAGGTTACGATTTCTCGATTTTCCCTGGTGTTTCTTTGTGTCAGTTTTCATTGCGCGGGGATGTAAACTAGAGCGGTGAGGGTCAGGGGTTAAGTAGAAAGCCATTTAAGAATCAAATAACAAAGTCAGTTTCAAGAATGAACCTAACGTGTCACAATTTATCAAAAATGGAGCTCATCACCGGCTTTAACTGAATAAAAAGTGTGGTCTTTTCTCATGCTTCCCAGGCCTGGCCCGCGAAGAATTAAAGTATCTCAAAGAGTGATCAACATTTTACTCCTAAAGCTAAATTGACCGAAGATGGGATAAAGGTCAATATAAGCCTAACTTTTCCAATTCATGCAAACACAGTTTTTTTATGTTGCGTGATCTGCTAGCTTTTAAAGGGACACTGACACCCCCCAAAATTTTTTTTAAATTTTTTGCCAGGCGCTTCATTATGGTGTCGGAGGACTACCCAATTAATATTTTGCAACAGAGTAGCGTATTTTTTTAATAAAGCCAAAAGACGCAACTGCTCGAAACCGAAACCGAAACCCGACGGAGGTCGGAGAAGTGGAGAGAAGAGAGCGAGTGGCGGAAGTCACGTGGCTACACCCGACGTGTTTTTTTTTTTGTTTTTTTTTCTCCCTCCCGGTAGCAGACGACATGCGGCGTGCGGGTACGGGAACTGTTCGCCGTGGGATTCTTTTGCAGTTATGTATGTTCCGCTCGTTGTTCTGTACTCCAAGATGAGTTGTTTTGTATATTGAGGAGTTGGAGATGAGTAGTGAGTGCCCGTGGTGAATTTTGATCGGCTCCGAAAAGAATACACCCAAGATGTTGCGTGAAGAGCTGGCTCACATGTCCTGCGTCCGAAACAGAAGTGGCATTGTGCGACAGAGTTTACGAAAGATCAACGGGATCGGGACCAATGGCTGGCTGCAATTCCTGTAGACCATTTACGGGCACCTCGGAAAGCGGACGCTACCTGATTTATATGCTCCTTGCATCTTGTGGAAAGTGATTACGTTGAGTTCGCAGGTGTCAAAAAGGAAATCCCATACCATTTAACTCAGCGACGTGTCGTCCACAACATTTGTTTCTTTTTTTTTTTGTTTCTTCAGTGATAATTTTAACAAAAGAAAAGAAATGTAGACATCAAAAAACATATGAAAAAAAAAAAAAAAAAAGTTCCATGGGGGATCGAACTCGACCCTACGGCGTGTAAAGCGGACGTCTTTCCCACTAAGCTACTGGGGCATACTGAAAGTTGGGGATCTCTTTCCTTAGTAATAATTCAGCCGATAAACTGTAAGTTTGAAAGTTTGCTACCGATTTTCCTTTAGCAAAAGCACTCCGGGGTCGAAGTCGGGATGCACCCCGCATTGGCGACATTCTCACCTTGTAAAGAAATCGTACGGGTGCATATTCAACTCGAAGTAGACACGTCGTGCTTGACGTTTGCGCGAGCGATGTCTTCAGCCACGAGAAGGGAGCGACGGCTCGGCGACGTCTTCGTGCAAATCGGCTTGGTGGTCGGGCGTGTCGTACGGGATGAATACCAGTTCTTTTGATCAGTCCCAAATTTCTCTTTTAAAGGCAGACAAAATTCTCCGGTACCGCGAACGACAGTTCTGAAATAGAGGTCTCACGCCCGTCGTCCGCTGCCATCGCGTCCCTGCGAGTCCCACGATACGCGAAACGACGAACGCACAGAATGCTTCCGGTTGTCTGTGAAACTTTTTTTTCAATCAACGTATTTGCAGCTTTTTAGAAGCCACAAAAAATGGGTTTTATATTTTTTTCTATTTTTAATATTGAGTGTGTGCCTTCAGTGACCCACGACTTTGATTAAATTTGGTGGTCGCATCGATACCTTAGAAAACGGCCCGTGACCGCGGAAAAGAGAGTGAGCGAGACTCGAACCGGCCAGTTCTTGATCGGCTGTTTTCGGGCGGAAAGAAACCGAATTTCGAGCCGCAAATTCTGTTCTGGGTAGTTGAGCTCCCATATGTCACGTACAACTAAAAACCTCGGCGAGCATAAATACCCTGTCAGTGTCCCTTTAACTATAAGCTGTTTTACCTTACGTCCGGACGCAGCGGACGCTACGAGCTATCCTAGCGAATCCCGCTCTATTAGCCCGTGATAAGATTTCCGCGCGTCGCTGTTTCCCTTCCCTAAGGTCATGTGATACTCACACGACCTTTGATTGGCTCCGATGGCTCGTAGCATCCGCTGCGCCCAGACGTAAGGTGAAACGGACTATAAAACCAGCTAAGATTGATTGTTAATTGCCCCGCATCTCCTTTCTTTTTTTTCTTTTTTTTTTCCTTTTTGCATGACAAGAGTGCGAGGATTAGGATAAGGAAGTTTAATAAAAATTTAAGAAATAAATTAATAACTTGACGAAATCATTTTTTTCTTTCTTTCGGAGAGGGTTTGAAAGAAGCTCCAGAGGCTACGAAGCCTGGCAAGCCATTCCTTGTTGCGAAAGAAGGGCTTGGTAGCCTTGTCAATATAATATGTCATTTTGGTGATGGGTTTATATATATATATATATATATATATATATATTTTTTTTTTTTTTAACTTGGCGAACCCAGTAAAAATTAAATGGTCCAATCATCACTCCGAGCTGCACTATTCGAGTTCTTTTTTTTATTTAGGTTGTTTTTATGTAGGAAAACACAAATTAATATTTTGCTTCAAGTAAAAATCACACTCGTATTGGACAGTGGTGAGACCGTTGGTCACTAACTGGCCAATAGAAAATAACAAAATAAACTGTAAGGTATTGTTTCGTATTGTATGGTTTTGTTGTTTTATGTGGGATTTCTTGATTGGCGGATCTACAGCAATATTCCTTATCTAATGCCCTTTGAGCCATTGGGGTTTAAAATATATTAAAATGATAATAAATAATTACAAATTAAATCATCTTTAAACCAATCGCTTTTAGAGGTCAGAGCACTAAACTCTAAAGAAGGAGTCGCCGGACTATTTGTGACTTTAGTCAATACTATTAACCGAATTCAGCATTCACAAATACATACTAATTAATTAAGGTGAACAAACATTGAAGCAGCAATTAGCACAACTTTTAAACATGCATCCACAAATCCCCGATATAGCAATAAAATCAAGATCTGCATATACGTTTAAATAAAGAATATGGGATGACACCTTTGAGCAAATATGGAATACTGTGCAGAAATGCTGACAGTCATTTCATTTCAGTGTATTAAAAATGTTAAACTTTCTTGGGTTGTTTTATGTTTTATTTTACTATATACTGCGCGTTCCATGTAAGAGCTGCACCGCTTTTAAACCTGAAGGTGTTCGGGACCTGGATCATATGTCGTACAGGGGTCCTGGACAAGCGCTTTTGTCCCCTCCACCACAACATAAAATGGCAAATAAATAGAGCACAACACAAATCCGTGAAAGCCCCTTTAAAATGAGGTGATTTAAGTCGCCATTACGCACGGTATATTAGTCTGTTCAGTGTACGGTGTCAAAAGAAGAACCAGGAACCGCAAGAGAGCTTAGAGACACTTACCATCCAACAGCTGATTAAGCTTGTCCAACGACTCAATTTTCCCATCCTCTGTCTCTCGAAGTTCGGTTTCTGCGATCAGCTGAAGCTCCGGTGGTAGGCAGTCGCCTCTCATTTTATATGCCCGCACTTTCGAGTCAGGAATAGTCGGCTACGCTCGTCGTACGATGCGCCCAACCCGCACGAGTGTCGAATCCTGAGTGAACTTCTCGCAGTCAAACCGACCAGCAAGCACTAAGTGGAGTGATGCGACCTTGTTGACGCAAACCTAATTTGTAACGTTCTTTTTCTACATAAACACGTCATGAAACGACAAGCAACGCAGGTAGCATCTTTCCGAGCATCTCAGACGGCAAGCATCTTTCCGAGCATCTCAGACGGCAAACCGGTTACATGCGTAAGCAAAGCGGTCGACCTTTCACTTTCTTTGAAGGGTTATCGCGCCCTGAGATGGCCCAGCCAACCAACGGGTATTTTTGTCTCCCTGCCTCAAGAAGTAATGCGGGAGAACTGAGAGAGAGAGTCTTTTTTTTCTTCATTTTTGTGTATTCTTTTTTCTTTTTCTTTTTTTGCTCTTGCAAATCAGTTACTGACGTCAGAGAGGCAACCTTGAATTGTTGTTTGGCGTTCCTATGTTTTGGGGGCACGCATCGCAAGGGAGGCTCCGCCCAGATTGGAACGAGAAGCGGCGGTGTTATGAAAGTGAGTGCGAACACCACGGGGGCTTCGCCCAAATGGTCCTCTGTAGTCAAGGCCTCCGATATACCGCCGGCGAGCAAAGTACCCTGGGGAGCTTTATATCTTTTTGTCTTTAACATGTGTAATTGTCGTTCATTAAGCAGCTCTGTTCAGTCGCCCGTTCTCGGTTGTGTTTACTTAAAAAAATATAGAACTTCCAGAATGAGACGCTACCGCCTACACCGACTGGAGAGAAACCAAAATGTAACCACCTTGCGCAAGAAACGTAGCACTATCCTTAATAAACAATAAATAAAATTGCGACATTTGCGAAATTGCCACGTGCGAATAGCTGAGTGAGCATCGTGCTCGATTTCCACGCCGCTGGCTGGGGTTTGATCTCCGACAGCGCTTGTCTTTTGTATCTCTTTTTGGTTTGCATGACTGGAATGTTACAGAGGATTCGATAATTTCGTTGTTTGTTCGAGCTAGGAAACTTCTAGATACCTACGTCCTTACCAAAGGGGCTCCGCATAGCTGCTTGAGTCAGTCGTCCTCCAGTCGCCGTCAAAGTATGTATACTGTCTTTGTTACTTTATGTTTTTCGGGACAAGTTCGCCGCATTCAACATTAATTTAAGTTTTACTAATCAAGTTTCTTTTCATTTCTCTCATAGAATCGATTCGCCCAACCAGGGGGCACTTCGAAATTGCGGTGGTAGCGCCACCGCATTACAACACCTGGTCGTGTCGCGTCGGTCGTGTTCGTACCGTTACAGTGACGTCGCAGGTGTTTCCAGTGTACGGTGAAGATTTAGAGAAGGATAAAAAGCGTGCGAGAATTATTTCTGATTGTGAGTCAGGAAACGATAGAGAAGCTTCAATAACACACATCTTCCGCCGAGAAAGCGGTTGATTTCCGCGCCAACGAGTCGGGTCCGTCTCGCAAGTACGGCCGTGCGGCATCTACGAGATAACTTCACAGGTGAGTGTCACTTGTTTAACTTTTGCGCTGTAATAACATTGTGCCTTCTCCTCTTAAATGAAAGATTACTAATCACAATAAACCACTGCTTTCGTGAGTCCTTTTAGACGACGTCGGGATACTATTTTTCGGTCGCTGAACCACCGGGAGACTACGTTCTCGCGCTAGAGGCTACGAGTGGGATCGCTTTTCAGGCTCGTCCACGTCGAAGAGATATTAACGTGTCTGGGATCGTGCGGGCATAGTCTGATAATTCTGGGATGAGATAAGACCCCCGCGTACAGTTGCGACTACAGGTCCTCGCTGGGCTGGAGTCGCGGACCGGTGCGAGCATTGTGCCCAGGATCTTAATTTTATTAGTATTGCTGAACACGCTTCCTGCATCAGCCTGCCTCAGCTGTAGGGAACTAAAACGCCAGGGCACGACCTGAACAAAGGCCTCGTGGATTTATTGCCAGTTATTTTTGCCCCACTTCACCGAGGCAGTAAGTTTGCAGTTACTGGGACCTGCTCCTGCTGATTGATGGTACCTTTTCTGCTAGTTTGAACGTTAGTGTACCGCGACATTGTCAGAAAAAGGGGTAAAGCAGTTGAAAACAAAAAGAGGCTAGCCTAGACTGAATCTCCTGCATAAATGTCTTCTATGCAGATGACTGCACATAATTTTAGTCGAATTTTTATGACAATGTTCAGTTGAATGGATTTATAAAAATTTCATTTCTCCTTCAGGTTCAAGGTGTCCAATCCACATGCAAGATTTCCAAATATTGGGTTGGGGCTTGATTCATACTTTCCTGTGTGGGACATTTTAGGAGGAAGATATTGTGTAGTAAAAAAACACCAGTGACACATGATAGGCTGTCATTATTAGAACAATTTTTATTTTCTGGAAAAATATTCTTTGCCTGTCAGTGTTTAATTGCTGCTTCACTGAATAAAGTTTGTTTCGTAATATTTCTTTGACAATTAAATTAATAAAAACGTTGCATGTTTTCAAGCGTTTCCAAGCATTTACCGTATTTTCCGGGCTATACAATTTTAAATGTGTTGAAATTTTAGGCCGTGCGGACTATACGGGATTTTGTTCTTCAATATTGCTGATTATGACGAGAAGAGGCGGATTTTGTGAATAAAAGAGTATGTTAATGATGATTTATGCATATTATAGTTTTTTTTTTTTGTGAGCTAAGAAAGCAGACGTTTCTCAAAGTGTTCCATCTATGAAAAGATATTCGCGACGACTAAGCACCAGGTGTATAGACAATGCACCGTGTGTGGACAATCTAAGCAAAATCTTATTTTTACCCCAAATTTGCTCCTGTGGACTGTAGTCTTGAAAATACAGTACAGAAGCATAATGCAACGCTTTCAAAAATGTTTTGTTGACAGTGAAAACGATATTTAGTGAGTTCTATCACAACCACGAGTAGGTAAACATACACAACCTTGTGGCAATATCAAAATTTTTCCCATGCTCTTAACACGGTGACATTGGCGCAGACTCGAAGTATGCCCGGCAGGACACTTGCAGATGATGTACACATCTCAAGAAGCAAGGACTGTCAAACGAATTGTAGGGCCGAGACCCCCGACTGATTCAGGGACCTTGCACGGCAGATCAGCTGTTCATGATATTCCAAATCTCATGAAGGATGTATCCCAGTTCGTGAGAAAGCAGTCATCACCTAAGGCTATCTATCTTTAGCCAAGCTATACTGAATCTTGGGGTACATGCTAAACCAAAACATGTAAGTCGAAGACAAGAGATTACAGAAGTTACCAATCAACTAACCATACTTTTAACTGGCTAAGAACCAGGCACATATAGAAAATGCAAAATCGACGAGGAAAGGTCACCTGTATATTCGAGAGAGGGAGTGAAAATTAATTTAAAATAACTAACAATATCTCACAAGCAACTACAAGATTGGTAGGTTCCCTGCAATTAGCCTCTATTCAATTAAGGTCACCTCAGCTGGCATCTCGTCTTGTAACTTGTTGCGTGATGAGCCTCAGCGTCGTCCTTGCAGGTGTCCACGAAGTGTACCCTACAGATCCTCGCTGACGTTGGCGGAATTAAACCGCCCCCACTAAAAATAAATCAATAATATAAAATCTCTGGTGTGATCAGTGGAAAATCGACACGAAATAATAATAACTATTATTGTCCCTAACAAGTAAAAACGTAGTCAAGCTTTTTTTTTCTCTTTTTTTTTTAAGGGGGGGGTTGGCTGGTTGAGGCGATTTGGATTGTGCTTTCCTTGTGTGTGTTGTTTGGGAAGGGGGGGGGTGCATGTGCATAATATAGGGTTGTACATGATGGCTATAAACAGCTAGAAAAACGGGAACAGCGATTAAGAAACACACACGGCAGGACAAAGCAGTACTTGCAACCCCCAAAAGCCCCTCCCCTAGCTACAAGACTGCTGACAAAGTAAGAACGGCTGGGCGTCTCTTTTGAACGGCCGACCTCCAGCACGTCTTCGTTGCCCTTCGCTGCGATTTGGCTGCACGTTTACGCTTCAGGCTCACGAGATATAAGCCCTAGCGAAGGTTGGAAGCTGGTGCTGGAGGAACTGAAGCTCCTCCCTGCCGTTATCGTCCTGTCAGTGATTATAGTTGAAATATTCGTGCCAAAAGGATCCAGCATCACGATTCAGGCCCCGTCAAACACCTCAAGGGAAGGGACAGAGGCGCACGTAAATCAAATATTCCTTCACACAGGCACCGCCAACTGATTTTCCCGCGTTCGGTAGTCATGCTGCTATTGTTATGACACCAATTCCATTTCGTTTTTCTGGCTTCTTTAGCAAAACTGATCTACCAACGAACAATAAACTTACTTTTGTTGGAGCACTGCCGTGGTTCAGGCTTGGCGCCGTTCGAGTCTCGTACGCCTTTTCAGGGAAGCGGTAGAATTTTAAGGACTGACTAGAACAATATCGGAAGTTATTACTGCAATCAACAACAAAATTTTTGTGCTAGCTGGGCTTTTATATCTTCTTTATCGCAATTATTATTACTGACTGGCGTACCCGACCACCTACGGCGGAGAAGCGAGGCGAAAAACAACGAGTCATTCGGATTGGGGCATCCCGGCAGGGGCTGGCATAGCGCTGTATTCAGCGGCGAAACTTGAGCGCTTTGGTCCTATTTTGGTGGAGGTGCGGGGTAACCCTATAGAATGCCTACATGTTTCCGCTCCGCTTTAGGGTGGCGCCAACTTCTTGTTACCCTTTCCCAGATCCTCTCTCACTGCCATTTTTCCCACTTCTTAGTTCGCTAAACGTACACAACGTTGAGTTTCTGTAGTCTCGACACACCGGCAACACTGTGAGGCCACTTCCGGGTCCGTTCATAAGAGGAGTCGGAGGCTCAGCGGGATGGCGTTATTCGTGGCTGTCGCTCTCTTTATTCGGGTGTTTCATATTTTGGAGTTGCGAGTAGGAAGTGTGCGTTGCTTTTATCGAAACGCGAGTTCCCGCGACAAAACGGAACGCCATAGACCGGCATTGAACGCCGAAACCTCGCCGTCGGAACGAGAGCAGTGAGCGTTCCCTAGCCCTAACGAGGATTAGCGGCGTTGTCCGAGCGCACGACCGGCGAGTGTGACAAAATGGTCGACGAAAACAGCGGAGGTTGCCATAATAACGAGGTAGGCAACACTGGTTTGTCGGTGACAGGTACAACAAACGTTGTCGCCACCCTAAACAGCGGAGCGGCGGAAACATGTAGGCACCCTAGAGAAAACGCAATTCATGCCCACGATGCGTACCAGCTGTGAACACGATAACTCCGAAAACGACGACCGTGAAGGCGACGTCCCCGAAAACATCCGA